CTCTCCCTGCCCCCACCGCCGCTCTCTCTGCTCCAGCCTCGGCGGCACTCGCTAGACTCGGAATAAAATTAACCTCCGATTTCCTTAACCGAGCGGCGCTGTCCGCGAGCGGCGGGTAACAGAGCGGCTTTAGTTACGAGACGGGATGAAGGCACGAAATGGTGTGACTGAAACGTGAACTCGAAACACTGTTTTCTCCTGATTCAGTTATAACATCTAAAAGTTGCAAACGCATTTTTTGAAAAATAAAGTAACGTTTTCTCCCACTTTCTGGTAAAATTTCTGCAAAAAACGAACACCATTGTGTTTAAAAGCCGTGAGGATCAACGAGAACCGAGCTCTATAGCAAGGAGAGTTCAAACGTCTACCCCTATCAACGAAAAGGGGTGGAATACTGGGGAAAGTTGGGCAACGGTAATGAAATGAGCGGGAATTAGACAAAGAGCCCGGGGGTACTTCACTCACCCAGGATGGACCTGCAGTTTTGGGCGAGAAAAGGGGATGGGGCTGGGCGGAGCAGTGGACCGCATATATGTATAAAAGGATCCCTGGACCTGTAGACCCCGACGGTAGACCCAGGCTCAAACTGCTCCCTAATCCGAATAAATTCAAACCACGTCCATTCGTTTTGTTCGGCGTTTACAATAATACATTTCGTTTATAATACACTCACATGTACGAGAAAAAATTATGGTTTCACATCCTAAAGTTGGATGTTCGCGAGGGGGAAATCACTAGGGTTCGTAGCGTACGGACTATTTCGTGGTATTTCTCCTACCATTTCGGTTATTTCTCCTGCCATTTCGGCTATTTCCCGCCTATTTCAGATTATTTCAGGCTATTTCGCGCTATTTCGGAGTATTTGGATGTTCGTTAATTTTTGGAAAATGTATTTGTGTAGGGCGAAGAACAAATACAAGACAACCGAGTTGCATTGTATTTCCCCTAACCGGAGCGTAGGTGGAAGTGTGTTGAGTTGCACGCATAGTACTGAGGCCCTTCGAACTGGAATCACTGGAGCGCGAGGCCAGTCCTGTTCTCCAGTGATGAGATCAAAGTCCAGCGCGCACCGTGTGGTCCTGCCGTTCCAGCAGCGTGGCGTGGCGTGGAGGGGGGCGTCTGTCTGGAGAGCGGACCACATAGCAGGAGGGCAGAGTGGAGGACCCTTACACTGGGCGGGCACGACCGGCACGACACAGACACACCCCCCACAGAGACAGACGGACGGAGGGACGGACGCACGGTGGTCGGACGGTTCGGCAGACAGACGGACGAAGAAAACATACAAGAGTAAGGAGAAGGGGGCAAAATCTGATTGGATTTCATATCGGTTTCAACGAGTACCATCAACATTGCAGCTTGCTTTGCGTGTGTGGAGAGAGAGCTGATGATGCTCTACTGTTTGAATAACACAGGGCGTATAAGGATTGTAAAAGTACGCAAATTACTTTTTTGCGCTCGCATGTTTATTTGATTATTTTTCATTTCAAGAAAAGGTTTGCGCACAAACGCAATAATATAACGCAGTAAATTTTCTACTCGACTTTCTACATAAGGTTCTCTGTGGGTTTTTTTTTCTCCGCCGTAATACTGTTTCTCGGCTGGGTCCGCCCGCCCATTTGCTCGACCAAACTTAAACTGGCCGCGTAAAGTTGGAATGTTTATTCATATTTGTAATAAAGGACCAGCAGGAGAGTTGCCCCGGCTAGCGGGGTAGCGACACGCGTGGAGCGGCTCCCCCCCCCCTCCTTTCTCCCCTCTCTCTCTCTCTCTCTCTCTCTCTACCCCGCTCCCTCTCCCCCGCCCTCTATTTATTGGCAAAACACCACGCTTTCCATCAACTCAACATCGCATCATAGGCAGCCGTAATAAAACAAAACCATTCCAAACAGCACACGGCGCCGTCCCCTGTCCCCTCCGGCCCGCTCCGTTGTGACTATAATCATCAGGGCCTATTCACCGAGTAACACGCCCGGAGCCTCATCAGCACGAGGAAAAGAGCGTAGGCAGGTGGGGGGGGGGGGGTGAAAGATAGAGAGCAGGTGTTCACGCTGCCCATCTCTGCAACGCCATCATTTCCGGACCAACTTCGTTCGTATTGTTCCGTTGAGCGAATGAACGTATTACTGGCCTCTCTTCTTTTCTTTGTCAGCCTCTCGCTGTCTCGCTCTTCTCGTTCCCGTCGCACCGTGGTCCTCTTCCCGCCTCACCCGCACTAGCTCCGCTTCGGAGGCCCATTTGCACTGCGCGCGCGAATCTCTCGCTGCATTTTGGTGATGCAGGTCACGCCTGTATCGTGAGGAAAGAATAGTCATCCTCGTCGCCTCTCTCTCTCCTTCTTCCACCTTCTTCTATTGGATTTCCCTGACTCCCCGCATCTTTCTCCCCCGCTCCCTTTCTCTTCCTACTTTTGACTTGACTACTTTGTAAATCAAAACCTCACCAATAAATCCTGGCTCAAAACTAAACATTCTCTCTCTTTCGTCTCTTGCCATAACACGTCGTCCCCGATACTTGAACTTTCGGCCTGATGGCGCTCTGCGATATCATTTACCGCAGCAGGCTGACAAATAATTCTCTCCATTTCCCTCTCAAAGAGTAATGGATTAGAGCCAACCAATCACAGGTAGTGTGCCCCCGCCGTCCCGTCCCACCGGGCGCACCGGGACCTAATCTCGTCCGCAGCCCGTGAAAAAGAGGGAAAGGGAGAAAAAAAGAGTATTTTATTAGCAGCTATACAAACTTTTCATTTTCAGCCGGTGCCAGCTGCTGCCGCTGCTGCTGCTGCCGCTGCTGCTGCTGCCACTGCCGCCTCGGAGCGGAGGGTGGTCTTTACCTCCACTAAGCCTGAGGGCCAGGTGTCCATAACAGGACCGAGTTCCTGTCATCTCAGCAGGGATATGATGGCTGCTTAGCAGCGGGCGCCACGGCACAAGCTGCACCGGCGCTCGATACCACTGCTGTGGCTTGCTCTGGAAACCCAAGTGTGATTCAGTCCAACAGTTCTAAGTGCAAGACCATGAGTATCACAGTTAAACCTGCACTACCCACACATGTATGACACTGCCAACTGTAGTTCCACACATCACACATGTATCACACTTCAAAGTGTATTACCACACATGTATCACGCTTAAAAGTGCAGTGTTGCACAACACTTTTATCACGCTTGAGTTTTCAGAGTAGCGTTGCCGCCATCCAAATAAAACGAGTGAAACTCCCCAACTCTGCCTGCACTCTGTGTACAATACCCGGTGCGAGGCTTATCGCTCCCTGGAGGGTGGAGCTGTCAAATTTCCTCGCTCTCTTGTTGAATAAGGATTTCCTAATTTTAACTTCACTAAATCTGTGTTATATTTTGGAACCACCCAAAACTTAGCCTGACTTGGCTCAAATTAGACCTTAGAAACTGACGACTGTCTGTTGAGTTTAACTGGTTCATCGACATGTTTCTCCGCAGAAGAAGCTGCCGATCCCGTGGGGCCCGCTGCTGCGCACGCCGGGGCTGTGGGCCTGCGCCTCCATGCACCTGGGCATCGGCTGGGCCTTCTTCACGCTGCTCACCTGCCTGCCCACCTACATGGCCAACATCCTGCACTTCGACATCAAGAGTGTGAGTACGAGCGCCGCGTTGCGTGTAGGTAGTTCCAACGGTGGAGTGGAACGCCGTGTGTGTACGAGGGGAAATTAACCAAATGGCTAGGTTTAAATTACAGCATTGGGTAACGCAAACAAGGCAGCGCTACTCGACAACTTTGCTTTCAAGGGAACGACCATTTTTTTACAATCCTTTCATTCTTTAGGCCATTCTCTAGGGTATACTTCAGGGGCGTATACCTTGCAGTCTGGCTTAACTGTGTAAAGCCTTAGTGCCCTTCTCTTGACAGCTGTTGTTCTGAATGTACACTAAACCCAGTCCCCAGACCGTCTAGGGGCTCCCTTTCCTTACCGTTCTGCTCCCAGAGCAACCGCAGCCCCCCGCCGCCCGCCTTAACGAAACGGGTCAGCCCGGTAGGATCTAGCCAGCTGGATTTACCTGC